TTGTCTGATTAGTTTTTTACTACTTTTAAATCTAATCCAATTATTTCATTTGTTGTTGCAAAGTTGGAAAAGTTGTTTCCTTCCTTTTTGTCTGCTACATAACAGCAAAAAATTTTTTTATTGAATAGTTTGCTAATCAAGCATTGCTATACAAATACAATATCAACACCACATTTCGGAACATTTTATAATTTTGACTTGTCTCAAATGAATAACATGTTTTAATGATTTTATTTGAAGCTGCTGGGAAGAAGTCAACTTTTTTTGTGGATTTAAATTTTCTTCAAGAAATAATGAAAAAAGTCTTTGTTTGTAATTATAGCTTATTTGATTTATTTGCTTGAATATTGTGTCACCAGCGATGTTTAAAAATCAGTAAACACCAAAAAATGACGGTATGCGTGGATGGTGGTTCGGTGTTTTCATCAGTGCAGTTAGAAGGAAGGGAGAAAAAAATTATGAATCAACAATCATCGCCGGCATGCTTAATTTTACTGAACAATTCAGCAAACGCTGATATTCATTTTTATGCTTGAAAAGTGTCATTTTTTTTGAACCCCGTCTTCTTTTATATTAATGCTTTCGTCTAAAAAAAGAGAAGAGCTTCAGCGTAACTGATATTTTGATATAAGTGAGCAGCTGTAGAAAGTTAGTATTTTATATTACTAATTCTTCTATTTTCCCTGTCGTTTATCTAGCATACGTTTTCATAGGATCAAGAAATGAAAGCAGAGGAAAGAAGGGGTTTCGGATGGACGTCATTCTGAAGTTGGGAATATTTTTTCAGGTTAATGAAGAGGTTAGGAGTTTCGATTAGGAGATGTTGAGAAGGAAAGAGTATTTAAGTAGGTGTTGCTGATATGACCCGTATTGCGGTAGTTTTTTTATGAAGTTGCAAAAATTGGCAGAGAAAAAACTATAGACGGCTTTTGAGCTCTGGAAACCTCGCATAGAAAGTTTTTCTTTCACTTATTGTTTAACTTGTTATTTTTGCAATTTTTATTTTTGAAGTAAGTTCAGTGTTTTTGTTTTTCACTGTTTATTTGTTTGTGTTTTTGTGCAAGAAATGTTTTTGGCGTATGTATATCTTCGTCTTCCGATGTTCATATCATATGCAATTTTTTTACCGCACAGTTTTGCTTTTTGTTTATCGTTTTTTTATTCGTCTTAATTTTGTTTTCAGTCCTATTTTAAACTTTATTCTTTCGGTGTGCCCGACCTGTGGTCAATTAAGGCTTTTGTTGCTTCAAGAAGTTCGTTGTTCAAAAAAAAATCTGTACTCCCTATTACTCGTATACTTTTACGTTTATCTGTCATTGTTGTTGTCTTGCTATGTTTTTTTTTTCTTTAGCTTTTTTAGCACCATAATATTCGCCGCGACATGACAAAATAAAAAGAGACGTTTTTTATTTGGATTTTTCAAGAATATAAATCACCTCTTAAATGTGAGTGATATTTCTTACGATTCGGCTTCGCCGAAATGAAGCTTAATTCTGTGATGTTTGTGGTAAGAAGAAATGGGTTGGGTTTGTGTTTTCGCTTCATTTTTTTCCAGTTCTATATTTTCATAACGATTAACAATTATTTAATATTAACACTTGAATTTTGATGTATAAAGAAGCGGTGTATTTTTTGACTTTTTTGCTAGCTTTTTAACAGTCCTTTCGATTCGATTTCACGTATCAGAGAAATATTTGTGTAAATTTGTTTCCTAGATTCCTTTGACACTGGAGATTTATTAGAGAAACTAGTAGTGTTTAAAAAGTTTGAAATTTTGTCGTAGAGGTGATACATTTTTCCACTCATTTTGCCTCCTGTCTTAAACCAGATGGATACCTGGTCTGCTGAACATCGTCGTTCTTGAGCAATGTCAAGTTTTTATAATATGATAGAATTCTCGACCGCAGTAGTTGAGAAACTACTAAAAGTGTGTTACGATTTAATTTCTCTTTTTGGAACAGTTCATTAGTTTGCTGTCTAGATTAATTCCTACGGTCTAGATGTTGGGGAAGAATATAATAAAATTTTCAAATTTCACATCTATTTTGGTTTCAAGACTTCATCAGTTTCCATCTTTGGAACCGATCTTACGCGCAGTTTGCACAGTATTTTTTTACGTCAGCATATTCTAATCCTTCACTTCTGATTGATGTTTTCCTTCACTTCTGATTGATGTTCTCCTTATGACTCTGAACTTCTGATGTTGAAATTATTTATTTTAAAGATAGATGCTAGAGCAGTCTTGTGAATCGGCTTCGACAAAACGAGTAGGTGTCAATTAATTTTTGAAATGTCTGAGTTCTTTGGGTTTTGAAAAAGAAAGGACCTTATTTTGTAAATTACATATATTTAAAGAAGAAAATAGAAATTGGTAGATCAAGTTATAAAAACTCCAAAGGGATCAATCATAAAAGCTTCAGAATTTGAGGGTTAGCTGTTTTCTAATGAGAATATGGTTTCGGAAATGAGACCTCGTAACGGTTTATTAGTGTAGCTGGAATTGCGTGCATGAAGTTTAGCAGTCTATTAACTGCCGAGCGAGGATCGGCATTGCTTGAGAAGTGGTACCTATATTTGTTTTACTGAACGGATATTAGGGGAGTAGCTGGAGGAATTATTTACTTGCAATAATTGTCTGATCTGAATCTCTTTCAAGCGAGCAGATTGTGGAGGGGAGGCACAGAGAGTTTTTTTGTGGGTATTTTTGAACACTTTCACAATTTTCCTCGTCACTAGATGAGTTTTTTGTTTGCAGGACTTGTTTTAGAAAATGAATTGAGTATTTCAAAAAGTGTAGGAGTGTAAGAAGAAAAAGATACAGTATATTGATCGTAGTAAAGAAAACTGATTTTGGTGAACAATGATTAATTGGTGTCGTCATTTTACTACTATGCTGTTGGCGACATTTGTGTGGTTGTTTTTGTTTTCCGGCAGCAATTGTGTTTCATACCGCATTTTTTCTATTTGTAGGGTTTCCTTTTTCCTAATGCACCTTTTCCATGTCCAGTAGTAGAGGTATTTCTTTATTTTTCATTTAAAATTTTTCTTCGTTTTTGCATTTTTTTAACTCTAATTAATTTTTACATTATTCTACACGTTCTAATGTAACCTTTAAGGGGAAAACAATAGAAAGAAAAGCTATAAAGGAAGTTCAGTTGTAGTGGTGAGGTGCATGAAAATGCAGTAAAGCTTGTCAGGCGGTCTGTATGCTGAAGTAGCATAAGGTTATTATTTTGTATAGTTCTGCCACTTGTTTTAGTTATGCAGAACACAGAAATTATTTTGCTGCTTCTTATTTTATTATTATTTTATGCGTGCATACCAAAATATCTGCTTCTTTTTTCCAGAACAGTTGCGTTGTACCATGATTTTTTATCTTTATACTAAACTACTAAACTTTTTTAAATAAAGTTTTATCTCATTACCAATAGTTTGCTTTTGAGTAAAATGGTTATTTTGTGAAAATGGTGGAACATGATTAAAAATGAAGGGACTTGAGTAAGAATTACAAAGAAATTAGAAATGGATTAGTCAAATTGACACTCATTCAAGCAGTAGGTAGCTATGAGAACGAATGAGCTGCAAAATGTTCCCATTTAAGATAGGCTGTAGGCAGATAGATGCCGAGCAGGTACCAGCAAGATTTCGAAATCACTTTTATATATTACTGTTGGAAAAGTCTTCAAAGGCTCTGCAGTTTCACGACTTTCTTTCACCGTTACTTCTGCCTCAGTTCTTCTCTTTTGTCGTACATCCTCCAGAATCAGGAGCTGATGGATAGGAAAGGAGAGAGAAGGTGAAATTTTTTTTGGAGCTGTCATCTTCTGTAGCGTTCTTTATAGTGAACAGTAAGCCGTTGTCATATTGATGATAATAGAATATTTGAAAAAGAAAGATTTTCAGTAATAAATAGGCTCAGTTTGCATGTAGACAGCCTGTATTAATGGGGCCAGTTTTTACTCGATTTTCTTCACAAACTGACTATCCAGATGCATTAGTTTCTTCCGTTTATTATCGCCTCAATTTATTCAAAACAACTATTCATTTGCAGCCAACAGCGGAAGTCTTGTACTGTATTTACTAAAAGGTCCATAATTATCTTTTTAAAATATTGACACTATTCGATGGAATAGCTGTTATTTGCCACGTTATGTATTAGTGAAACTAAGAATGTAGTGTAAGGCAACAGTATAGTGGGTTTACAGTAAAGGTAGTTATAATTTTTCACCATTGCTTTTCTAAATATGATAGATATTCCTGTTAAGTAAGAGCTGTATACTGAGAAAAGTGATTTCAGTTTTTCATTCATGTTTTACTTTTTTGCTTCAATTGTTATTATTTACCTAAATTTAAGTCTTATTTGTGTAGTTGTTTTTTAGCTTATTTGTTTTGTACATGTTCGCTTTTTATTTTTCGCCACTTTAATGCTTTGATTTCATCGGCCTCTTTGTTTTACTATTACTTAACAGTCGTTATACATTTTTTTTTCCTTAAAAAACGGGACATTTTTTATGTGCTATGGCAGATGCTTATTTTTTATATAGTTTTTTGCTGGTTATAATTATAGAATTGTAGTAAAAGCAAAACGCTCTCATAATTTATGCATGCTTAGAAACGGTAATATTTCTATGAAATATTGATTTTCATGTGGGATTTGTAGAGGGAAACGGACCTGGTTTAGTGATCAGAATTTTCTAACTTTTTAACTCGCAAGTAGAAGAACGTCGTCATACGAACTCTGTTTAAAGCTTCTTTTTTTTTCGGGTTCATCAATAAATTTTCAGTTGTATTGTTCCGGGGTCGAGAGGTGTTTGGTGAAAACCATTCTTCGCTGTTGCAAAGAAGATTTGGCTTCGGCCGCTGACCAGGCACATTTTCTGTTGTACTTGTCAGTTACTTTCTTAGAATAGTTAATTGGAAGAAGCAGAAAGTTTGACGACTAACAATCAAGGTGGCGACTTTTCGGGCTTTGCACCCGAAAAGAGCTAGTCAAGTAGGCCATGGCGTTAATGATGGATAGTTTGAGTGGAAGTGCTGCTTTGAAAGCTGATGGTGCTACAGCAATATGGTAGGTTTTTCTTCATTCTGTTGTTAGTTTTTTTTTTTTTTTTT